ACTATATTGGGGAAAAAGTCAACTATAGCCAATTTACAGTCAAATTTCATAATTTTTTATCCACATCAACATTTTAAACTCATATGTATCATTTGATCAAGTTTGGACCATAACTCCTCAAGAAATTTGATCAAATCTCCAAAAGGGCAAAATGGTCAAAATTAGGGTTTTGACTGAGAAAGGGCAATTTTTGATTTTTGACCTAGAAAGCGGTCAATTGGTTTAAGGCATGATCTCAAGAGTCTAATTTCATCATTTTGACCTAATGGCATGGTTCAAAACATTGCAAGTCCATTGGATTGATAGATGAATTTTTTCAGTCAACTGATCAAAAGTCAACTGTATACTAAAAAGTCAAACTTTGACTTTTTGGTCAAATTCAAGTGCCAAAGATCATAATTCATCAAAACATGTAAAAATATGAAACTTATTCATCAAGAAATCAAAAAGTCAAGATTTCATTTTGAAAAGTAAGAATTTCTAAACTTAGAAATTTTTCTAAGTGTTGGAAATTTCATGTTTTTTCATAACTTTGAACAAAATTTTCACCATGATGCAAGATGATTCAAGAGAAACTTCAAACATGAAAGTTTTAGATATCCATGAAATATAAAACTTTGATTTACACAACTCCTTCTAAAAGTGCTTGGATCTCAAGTTATAAATTTAAGAACATGTGGTCATGAAACAAAACACTTAGTGAAATTTTTGCCCTAATTTGGTCAGGATTTTGACCCAACTTCATGGAACTTTTTCATATAGTTCCAAGCGGAATCTTCAAAAGAAATTCAATTATGGATTGCGTAGCACATTAAAAGCTTTCCAAAATGTTCAAGAACTCCTTGAGATCATTCTTTAGTAGGGAGAATCGAAGAGATGAAGTTAGGGTTTTCACACTTGAATTACAAGTCATTTTGTGATGAACAAGAATTCAATTTCAAACCTATGCTGCACAATTTTGTTTTGCATGCCTCTAAACCTCAATATCTATCCATAATCAGAAGATTACACTTGCTTTTGAGCTATTATCCACTTGATTCAAGCTTTGTCCAAGTAAATTTTCCATTAATGGAACAAAGTTCACACTTCCATTTTGGAAAAGTGACTTTAATCACAAAGTCAACTTGTATGGAGATTTGCACCTGTTCTTTCTGCACAAGCATGCTCTATAAACTCAGAACAAACATGTTTAAAGTTGCAAGCCACCCTACAAGACATGTACCTTGCATTGAAACCATGTTTTTCAAGATAACTTCAAAAACAAGTCAAAAACTCATAACATGTGATCTTTGTTTTCTGACCTCCTCAAGTCCTCTAACCTTTTACATATATTTATATAAGTGCATTGCAAGCTAACACACGAGGAAACAAGTCCTAAATTTCCCCAAAACCAAAAGTTATCATACAAGCACAAAAACTTGTCATTTCTGATTTTTGGAACACAACTTCAAAACCCCTCGTGCGTTTCTTGGCCAAACCATCCACAAAACTTCTAATACACATATAGAAACTATCCCAACCCTTGTTTTCAAACTATAAAACCATTTACACCATTCTCCATTTTCAAAAACAGGGCATTGCACATTGACTTCTTCAGCTTGATTCAAGAACTCTCAGCACAAAGTAAGCTTTGCAATAGCTTCCTGGAGGTGCAAGGAAGCTCACCCAATCATCAAAACACTTTGAAAGTAGCTCTAACTCAAAATACGATCTCCAACTGCAAGGTGAGTTTTCTGACTTTTCATCTCATTATTTAGACATTGTTAGGTCTTGATTTGTGAAGATAAAATGTAGATAACTTTGCCACGAAGCTGTACATATCCATAGTTTGCATTTATATGGTCTGAGCTTAGAGAATTTTAGAGTTGAAGTTTTCTGAAATTTTTAGGGTTTGAATTAGGGCCAGAAAAATTATCATTCATCTTTGACTGTTAGCTTAAGTTACTTATATGTTTGGATTCGTGGGAAGAAATGCTATAACTTTCATGTTTGAACTTTTCATTTTTGTTGAGAAATGAAGAAAATACAGGTCCTTTGGCTGGAGGTTGAAGATGAAGTGTATTCAGGGCGCATTTTATGTTATGTATTTATTATTTCAGTTATATTAACGGATGTATAGCCACCCCAGTGGTAAAGCGCACGCCTGTTCACCTTTAGATCCTGGGTTAAAGCCCCAGCGTGACCTTTTGCTATTTTTACAATTTTCTGACTTTTTTTGTGTTTTTTTTTGCAGCGCTTGGACTCTTCATATGGGCCTAGTTTTTTTTCTTCTCATAATACTCCTTACATTACTGATTAACCCCCTGACTTTTCTTTATTTTTTTATTTTTATTTTCTTTTTCTTCGTTATTATTATTATTATTATTTTCATTATTATTATTATTATTATTATTATTATTATTATTATTATTATTATTATTATTATTATTATTATTATTATTATTATTATTATTATTTTCATAAAATCATAAAAAATCTAAATTTATTTTCACTTATTTTTTATACTAATGTATTTTATTTTCGATAAAACAAAAGGATAAAAAATATTTTTTTCTTAAAATAAATAAATTTTCTTTCTTTTCATAAATAATTTTAGACTTAGGATAAATTAATATATTATTTTGTTTTCTTAGTTAAAATTAATTTAGAACTTAGTTTATTTTAGTTAATTAATTTTCATTTTATTTTCATTAATTTAAAACCTTTTCATTAAAAAAATATCTAAAAAATCCTCTTCAAATTAATTTCTTTCCTTAGTTAGTTTAAATTTATTTTATTTTATTTTAATTACTCATTTTCTTTATTTAGGTCAAGATAAAACCCTTTCATAAAAACAATAAAAATTATTTCTTTTTCCATTTATATTCTTGCATTTTTATTTTCAATTTTGTATAATACTCAATATGACTGTCATAACTAATTAGGTTTAACTTTCTTGCAATCCCCATTTGTAATTTGTACACCCCCTCCCACAAGTATTGTAATAGCGTAGTAATTTTACTTTTTCGCAATTTATCGCTTTTATATAACATGCTAGTAATTAGGGTTTGTATGGAAAGACTAAAACCAATACTTAGAAAATCCTAATTCAAGACAAAAAAATAAGCATGAAAATAATACACTTGCACACAAGCACCCCTAGGGTAAATCCATTTGGTTGCCTTTACAAAATGGTCATATTATACATGTGATGTATCTTAGCAAAAACAAGTAAAATACAAGATCATAGTCCCTCGATGACGCTATCTAAGTTGCCTTTCAAATGATCTTAGTCCCTAAAAGAGAATGCTAAGATACCTTGCAACATTGCTAATCATGGTTATACGATGACCCACACTCGTCCTGTTTACATCCAAAGATAGGGTTGCTTACCAAATCAATGGTAAGACAACAATGTCAAAGGAAAAGAAAATGAATAAGAAAGACATTTGAGTAGGTAGAATGCTCCTAATTACTTGCTCAATTTCAAACAAACATTCTTGCTATTTTCAAAAATAAACACTTACACTTTTAAAACATCTTACAAAACTTGAAAACATTTTCAAAAGATCAACATCTTTGTATACATTCTTACGAACGAGAATCATTACAAAGATTGCCTAAACAATGGCCCTCTTTACAAAATACTTTCAAAAAACCACACAAAGCACAATTTTAAACAAAAGCAAGTGATCTAGCAAGTAACTAAGAGCCCATGGATAACCATGGATGAAAAGGGTGCTAATACCTTCCATTTTCATAATCTACCCCCTGAACTCAAGAAACAATCTCAAAGGTCTTTCCTGTGCTTTTTCACCTTTCCTTTTGGATAAAAGAAAAGTCGGTGGCGACTCTTGCTAACCGCAATATTTACGATCAAACGCAAAATCTTCAAGTCAGTTCTTCCACCGTATCACAATGTTCAACATAAATATCTACTAAACTATACCCTTTAGCATATGCAACAAGATCTAAAAGGTCACCATCAGTGTTTAGAGGCTCAAGTCCATGCTGAAATGATAACTTTGGATGCTGGTACCACAATCACTTGAACTTTGTATACCCAACACTAAGCACTTCCTTTTTAATGTCTTTATAGTTAGCCCAATCAACGTCAAAAGCTTCTTCCATCTCATAAACTACACCCCCCACATACACTTTGACAGGGAAATATACAAATATATCCTCATGGTTGATACATAAGTTCAACTTCTATTTGTCACTTGACCTACACATATCAACAACCAAAAAACCGTAATTTATAAAACTTCTGTGCAACAAATTAACCATCAAGCAAAAAAATCCTAATTTATAAGACTTGTTACATACTTGAAACAATATTTCGAATTCTCTAACATGGTCGATTTGATGGAAGGAAAGAAGAAAAACGATGAAATTTTGTTGTGTGTTATCGTATTAAGAAGGAAGAGAGTAAAAGCAACTTTGAAGTTTTGAAATATTTCTTTTCTAAAAATGTTTTTTTCTTATTTTAGAAAAAACTTTGATGAATTAATAATTAAGAATTTCATATATGCATTGCCACAAGTGTGTTCTTTTAGCCACATCACTTAAAATTTGGCCCATCAACATTTTTAAAAGGGAAATGAGGATCAAGACCAACATTGCAATAAAAAATATAATATAGAGATTCTTTGTTCAATTTTAAAAGGTAAGGATCAATTTAGTAAATTGATCTAAATGCGATGACTAAAACTGTAATTAAATTTTAAGTTAAATGACTACGTAAAAAAAAACAAAAATCCTGTATATTTTTGCCAAATTTTAGTTTTTGTTAAGTTGCAGAGTTCCCCTTGTTCGGTTCAGCCACCGTCCTACCGAACTCTCACCACCGTTATTCTCTTCTCGCTCCGCCGCTACCTGAACAACCACTCTCTATAACTTCACCGTAAGTCCCAATAATATTCCAACTTCACCACTCCTATTTATTTACTATCTAACGATAAACAATCAACTTTCACAACAATTCTTACCACATTTGAAACCCTTGATTTTGCAGTGTAATGGAAGAAATTGAAGCAGAACAGCAGAAATTATCTAATTTCGAAATTGGGTCTTTGCCAAATTTATTTTATATTCCTGACTTCATCACAGATACTGATCAAACCCTTCTTCTCAACTATGTATTTTTACTTTTTAACCTATTGGTTCTTTAGTTTATTATGTTTTCTTTGTAGAAAAACTGATTTTTTGTTTTGTTTGGTTTGTTAGATTTATGGAGCTCCTTCATCTAAGTGGAAGTTGTTGAAAAATAGAAGGCTTCAGAATTGGGGTATGGTTTATGACTATTAAGTTCTGCACCCCAACCCTATAAACATAGAAATACTGCAGAGTCGTATGCGATGGAATTGAGTGATATTATATTGTTTGGATCATTTAAAATCGAATAGAGCGGGATGGAATGGTATGAATTCCATTCTAAAATTTCTTCCCCTCCAATTAGGGCGGGACGAAGAAGTTACCTTGTTCCGTTCTAAAATTTCCAAACGATCGAATGGAATATTCATTCCATTATGCTTCATTCAACTCTGCTCCTTTCCGTTCTGCTCCATTCATTTTATGATATAATGTCGGTGCGTGGTTACATTCGACTCAATTACTTACTTTTACTTTTTTGCAAACTATTATCGGTATCGACTTGTTTGTGTTGTGATATGGCTTCATAGTTATGATTCACAATGAATTCTTCTTCTTGTTTTTTTTAGGAGAAGGGGTTGTGTCAAGATTTCACATGCTATAGTCCTTATTTTGTGCTGCCATGGACATGAAGTCTGTCTCATTGCGATAACCCATTTCATAGTTTATATTAGTGAAAACCATAGTTGAAATATTGTGATTGAGCAGTCCTTAATTGCAAAGAGTTGAAATAACAATGCTCCACGACTTATTGTGGACTCTTTTTTTCCTTAGGAAATTTGAAAATATCCATGCAAGGAAAATATATTTCTTTTGCATTACCAACAAAATTACTAATGATTACCAAAGATGATTTGAAAAATTTGTCCTTGATAATGTTGATCAACTATTTCTCGTCACTTCTTAATGCAGGCGGCGTTGTCCATGAAAAGGGCCTTCTACCTCAAGCTTGTAAGTGAGGATATATTTACTTCAAGATGATTAAATGGTTTGATTTTTCTTTTTTCTGCTAATATATTATGTTATCTCTCTCTTGTAGTGCCTCCATGGTTAACAAATTTGACGCATAAAATATCCGAAGAATCAGGACTTTTCCCATCACCAATCAATCATGTTCTCATAAATGAATACCAACCTAACCAAGGCATAATGGTTTGTCCAGAACCTCAACCCTTGCTTCTGGCTGTTTATTTGCTCACTTTATTTTTTTTCTTTTAGAAGTGAAATCTAGACTGTTTAGCATTTCATTGTTCTTTCTCTCTTCATAGTCCTTTATGTTTATACGATAACAATCATGATTTATTGACGGTGTGTGGTGTCTGACATGACACCAATACATTACAGTGAATTATTTTGTTTTTCTCAAATTATTATCGGTGTTGGCGTGTCAATGTAAGTCGATGATTCATTGACAAACCAGACACGCCGTCGGTAGTAATTTTCAAAAATTAATTAATTGAAGGTAAACACATGTGTCGATCTCGGACACCAACACGTGTCTGACACCTACACACATTCGATAAGAAGTGTTTGTGCTATAGTGACGTCCGTTTCGTGTCTGTCATTGCATCATAGATCTAGAGTTCATTTTCATGCATGCTGCTACTTGCTAGTTCTCAATGAAGATTGTTGTTTTATTGTACAGCCACACCAAGATGGACCTTCCTATTTTCCAGTTGTAGCTATTCTATCACTTGGATCTCCTGTTGTCATGGATTTCACTCCCCATTCCAAATTAAAACTTGACTCACAAGTTATTGACAAAGAAACGGACGGAGAAACTATTGAGATTGTGAAAGATAAGTGGCTTGATGATCACCGTCCATTCTCTGTTATATTGATGCCTCGCAGTTTATTAATATTCAAAGATAAGGCATACTCAGGTAAGGTTATTGTTCTCAAGTGCTATAATAAATCATTGTATTTGATAATAATAATAAGAAAGTGTTTGGAAGAATTTATTTCGACTTAACACATTCATGAAAATAGCTTACGATACGTGTATAAGTCAGTTTAAGATTATTGAATAAGCGGTTAATAGTAACATTCTGCATGTGATTACAGATTACTTGCATGGTATAAAAGATTGTGAGGTACATGGCTATGATGGGGTAAGGCTACACAGATACTGAATTTTTATGCCATTAATGATCGATTGCGTTTCAAATTATTTTTCATGCTTCATACTCTGTCTTTTCCAGGCTGTAAATGAAGCCGAAGCTTTGAAACACAGTGAATCATACAGACACATTTATGGCAGAGAAGATAAGGAGGAAACAATAGGAAAAGAAGAGTGTAAGAATATATCAAGAACTTCAAATAGAGTTTCATTGACTTGTCGATTGGTTCCAAAAGTTCATAAGAATTTGTTTAGGTTTTGAAATTATATATATTTCATATTCATTCAATAGATAGTGCAACTGACAGAACAAAATTTGTTCGAATAAAATACAAATCAGTTGATTTTTCACTTAATTTGAAAACAGATTTTTCATAAAACTCAACCACAAAAAAAAATGTTTCCACTGCGAATCTAAATGAGTGTAAAAATCCTTTATTTGGCTGGAAAATGTGATTGGGTGTAGCATAAACATTGTGCCAAGTAATTAATTTGGCATTTGTGATGCTTTTGCGAGTCAGTTCTTCAATTTTCTTTGAGTCAGTTCTTCAACTTTCCTTTCATTTGTTATCGTTGGGCACACCGTTTCTAGCATTAACTTTTTTTCTTTTTGAGTTGATCATAAATGAAGGCTAAAATGGTTTTTATATTGTTGTGTTTTCAATGTATGTTGTGTTATAGGAACTTTCTACAATAGAATGAGACTTCAGCGAGGAAATTTGCTTTAGCTCGGTCCTTTTTTAGGGGTGAGTATTTTGATTATGGGGTTAATAGACATTTCGTTCCCTATCATTTGAGCAAGATTTGAAAAATTCCCATAAAAAAAAAAATAGATTCCCACCTTATCATTTAAAGATTCTATTGATTTGGTTCTTCATTAAACCAGTTCATCCAATCAGCTTACGTGGAATTGACATGTTGACATTTTTTTAAAATTAAAACAATAATTCAATTTCATCTGTCAATTATCAAATTTAAATAAAACATTTTAGGACTTAAGTTACTCTCAACCCTAATTTGAGATTGTTGTGTCATCGTGTTCTTTGTTCTTCAAACTTCATTCCTCCGCCGCTTTCGTTCTTCAAACTCCATTCGCTGTCTCTTCCATCTCCTTTCTCATTGTAATGGTTGGAAGTTTGAAGAATAACATGTCATTTAATGCTAGAATAGCTCCCAAATATGGACACGAAATTTCAATGAAGCTTTTCGTTTTTAAATTTGCTGCAAATCTAGGGAGAAAATATTGGAAGTGCAAATTTTGGGGGAAAGGAGACTGACAAAAATTTTATTGGGATGATGAATATTTTGGCTCAATTGATAGGAAACGATTTGCAGAAGACGACGATGGATGCAATCGCTGTGATGTCATGATTGAGTATTTGAGAAAATTTGGGAGAGATTTCGGGAAAGAATTTGGAAGAGAATTTGGGTCGAAAATTAGTTCCAAGGAGATGGAAGATTTGAAGAACAAGTTGGAGAGCACAAAGAAGAAATTTGTTTTTCTAGTTGTAGTATTTATATGTTATGTGTTTACTTTGTCATAGTTCAATTGTAATGTTGTCGTATTGTAACAAAATGTTTGATTTGAAATGAACGAGTGGTTGATTTGAATCTGAATTATGAATGTTTGATTAGTAGTAGTTTTCTGAATTATGACTGTTTATTATGTAGTAGTTTTGATAGAGGCATAATGCCATAGCATTACAACAAAACAAATGACAGTAGTTGTTACAAAATACATAAAGTGCCATTGATAAATAAAGACATAATGTCAGAGTAGTTGTTACAAAATGTATAGTTTCTAAATTGACATTATAAGCACCAAAATGACATTATAACAAAACATATGAAAGTATATAAACAACCTTCCAAAATGACATTAAACTTCTAAAACAGGTTGACAATAATGACATTAAACTTCATATTACTGAGACAACTACTTAGATATTTCTTCCCATGATTTCATCATGCGCACACAAGTTCTTAACTTGGGGTCTCTTTGGACAGTAGCAGTAGGGACATCAACTTTCAACCATGTATCTCTTGCTAGCATGCTTTTTCTTTGGTGATGGATCTATCACTTATGAGGGTTGAACATCCTGATTAGCTTCTGGTTGAGTGACTTGAGTAACATGTGATATCTGAACATCCTGATTAGCCTCTGGTTGAGTGATTTGAGTAATCTGTGACGGTTGCACATCATGGCTAGGTTGATCATAAGTGACAATTGTAATACGGTGGGAGAATTAACTTGAGTGTTTTGTATTTTATCGCAATTGTTACGGATAGCAAGAGTCGCCACCGACTTTTCTTTTATCCAATAAAGGAAAGGGTGAAAAGAACAGGGAAGACCTTTTGAGAATTTTCTTGAGTTCGGGGGGTAGGTTATGAAAAGAGAAGGTGTTAGCATCCTTTTCATCTGTAGTTATCTACGGGCTCTTAGTTTCTAGCTCACTTTGAAAATGATTTGTAAATGTGTTTGTGTTTGTTTGAAAGTATTTTTGAAAAGTGTCTTCGTTTAGGCGAACTTTGTAATAATTCTCGTCTCTATAAAAACGTATACAAAGTGTTGACTTTTGAAAATATTTCATGAAAGTGTTGGTGTGTTTGAAAGATGTTTGTTTTTGAAATGTTTGTGAGCAAGCGACTACGAGCTATCTACCTACTCAAAAGAAAGTCTTTGTTCTTTTCCTCCTCTTTTAGATAGTGTTATCTTACCATTAGTTAGTAAGAATCTATATCATTGAATGTGAAGGATCAGACGTGGGTCATCGTACAATCATAGAAGACAACATTGTAGGATACCTTAGCAATTGGTTATAAGAGACTAAGATCGTTTATCAAAGACAACATCGAAGGGTCATCGAGGGACTATGATCTTGTAATCGAGAGTCTTTGCTAAAGTATCCCACATTCGAGGAACATGACTGTTTTATCCAAGTCAACAAGTGTGGGTTACCCTAGAGGTGCAAGTGTGCAAAGTGTTTTTATTTTCATGCATTTTTCTTGAACTAGGGTTGTCTATTGCTTGATTTTATGTCTTGCCATACAAATCTTAATTACTAACAATAATATGGAAAGCGATAAATTGCGGAAATTAAAAGTCCTACGCTATTACAATACTTTAGAGGATGGGTGTACAAATTACAAATGGGGGTGACAAGTAAATAAAATTCTAATTACTATTACAAGGCTTTGGAAATTATATAAATTATAATGCGAAGTAGTAGAATGTACAAAAATGTAAAGATAAAGAAAAGAGAAAAGAAAATTGTTTTTTTTAAATGTTTTTTGATAGGAGAGATTTCCTAATTTAAACTAATTAATTATAAGATACGTTAATTAAATATTTAACAAAACCTAAAATATAATTTGATTAAACCCTAAGTCTAATTTAATTTAATTAGAAGAGAGAATTAAACTAAAACCTAAGTATAAATTAGTTTAATTAAGAAAAAACTTAATTTGTTAAGAAAATATTTTTTAGGTTTTTTGTCTATACAAAATAAAATAAGAAATAAAAAAATGAAATGAAAAATTTTAATATAATTATTTAGAAAAATATATTTTTATATATTTTATATTAAAGTAAATGAATAAAAATTAAATAAAATAAAAAGAAAAGAAAAGAAAAGAATATGGGCCAGGGGTTTAGAAATAGGAAAGGATGTTAGAAAATAGTAAAAGAATTAGGCCCAAACAGATTTTTTGTTAGAAGTAAAAATAAATAAAAAAAGAATATGGGTCAGTGTGGTTGTAAGCAGATTAAGGGGTATGCTGAAAATAACTTCGCTGGATTTATGAATGGAGTTGGGGAAGGCCCGTAACAAAATGGTGTAAATAAAAGTAAAATGGAGGGATGCGCGAGTGGAGATGGAGTTGGGTTGGCTGTAAGGAGTTTGAGAAAAAGAATTGGAGGTGTGTGAATGGAACGGAATGGGCTTGGAGGTGGATTTAGAATGAGCCTTAACAATTGTTAATAAAATAAATAAAATAACAAAAACAGTAAATGTTAATCATTTTATCAAAAATACTCTCTCTCTTATTCCAAACTCTCTCTTGTTCTCTCTGTTAAGTCTCCACCGAAGACGAAGAAATGGTCGCGCCGAAAATCGCCTTCACAGCAACGACGGCGGTGGCGAGGCTTCGATCATAAATTTGTTTACATCGTTTGATTCATTTTCCCCTCCTATTTACTAATCTGTGACTTGTTTTAACGGAAAACCTGAGATCTAGCCTAGATCTAAAAGAGGGTTTTAGAAACCCTAGACACGAGATTGTGAGAAGAACAGAGAAATCGTGAAGGAAATAACGAAGGAGAAAGGAAAGGAGAGGAAAGAAACACTTTCGTGACGCGTCTTTACCACTCAGTGAGATTATTCTGAGCCTTCCCTTGCTTTCTGTTTGCGATTCTGTTTTTCTTCTTCTTCGTGAAGTTCTGAAGGGTTTTTTTGGGAGGAAAATGATGAACAAAAATTAGGGTTTTGTTATGTTCTTGCTGCCGTTTCTGTATATTTGTGTGAATGATTTTGAAAGGTTTTTAATCTAGGGTTTGTATGGTTATGTGGCCTCACTTCTGTATTTGTTATGTGAGTTGTTACAGAAAATGTTGAATAGAGGTTTTTTTGTGTTGTTGTGGCTCCCCTGTTTCTCCCCCATATGAACTGTGTTACAAATCTTATATACTGTGAATTTTCTTGCTCGGTTTTACTTGTTGAAGTTGATATAACAGGCTTTGTTGGACTTGTCATCTTTTCTTATATCTGATTTTTCTGATATGCCAACTTTGTGGTACTTTTGCTATGTTATGCTATGCTAGTTTTTTACTTCCAGTGATGCTTTTTTTCGAAGCTGTACTTGTTGGTTGCTGACTTTTTGATTTTGTACTTGTGCAGTACATGAGTTTGTACCCTTATTGTGAACCAAGCAAGTTTTTTTTGAATAGTTGTTTGAGATTTGCAGCAGGAGGCTGGGCCTAGGATTTGAGTTTGCAATCCTGATTTTTGTAGAAACAAAGCAACATGAGGCTTCTTTTTAGATTGTTGCGTGAAAACATGATGTTAGTTATGATTTGGACCCTTTGATTTGTCTTTGTCTTTTTGTGAACCAACTTAGATTGTGATTTTCAATAAATAAAGTTAAGCCCTAAAATCTGATTCGTTGAACAAAACTCTAATGATGAATAAAATACTTGTTTGAAAGCTTTATGTTTATGCTCATGTTTGAAGTTTGTGTTGCTAATAAACTCTTGTTCTTTTTGTT